ATCTAAAACTTCTTGACGATGGTGAAGAGTCAAGTGAATAAAACTTTTCTTGGATATTATCCATCGTCTAGTAAATATAAAACGTAAAACGACGTTTCGGAGATGGGACTCTATCTCCGTCTTCAGGTTCCTACACAGTTGGGCCCACAACGTGTCTTGTGCACCAACAAATTATAGTTGGGTGACTGATTTACCAAGTGGCTCTAAATTGTTAATATACATGAAACCTTTGCCTAATGGTATCAGTCTAAATCTTTTCATTGCCAGTGGTTTGCCATCCCTGTATAAAACTGTGATGTTACACCCAGTGAATCATTTGAGTTTTTTTTTTAGAAATGGCTCAAGTGTAAGGTCTTTTAAAGAATTGGCATTCTGCAAACTTTTACAGGATCGCCGTACATGTCACATCAATGCCGAACAGAAGCGAAGGTGCAATATCAAGAATGGATTTGACATGCTCCACTCTTTAATACCACAGCTCAATCAGAACCCTACTGCAAAGGTAAATCTCAGTAGGATAATTGTTACATGAACACTAGAGGAATTTTGCACAAAGTCTGTCGAAAGGCTCAGAAGACAGTAGTCTTGCTACTGAACTTATTTCATGTTGACTATGTGATTAATTGGTAGTACTTTTACTATCGCAACTGCAACAGAGTGAAGACATATTTGCCTGAATTATGAGTCATTCTATAGGATAATTATGGAGAGCAAAGAACAGCTTGTGGTAGACTTAAGTGCAATCTTCTTAATATACAATGTTTCAGCTTAGTAAAGCAGCAATGCTTCAGAAAGGTGCAGACTACATTCGACAGATGCGGGCGGAGAGGTCTCAGCTCCATGATGAGATGGACAGCTTGCGCCAGCAAGTTGAGTGCCTCAACACTGCTATTAGGTACTCTTTAATTGTAACTGCACTACCACATTCCAAGTTGATAACAAAGGCGTGTGAGTGGGTTGATAAAGCAATTATGTATAGTCTTCCAGGTTAACAGCTAGTGACATGTAATTTCTTTACTTCATGAGTATGGACTTTAGAATATGTTGTATACCTTGTTTACATGATGTGAGGCATGCCTGAATGCAGAAGGGGGATATAAATGTAAATTTATGGAACATACTTGGTTCCATTTGTGTTATGTTACAGTAACTGCCAAGCCATGCTACCAGCTACAGGAGCACCAGTGTCACGTCAACGGGCCAGCAAGATGAGGGAGATGTTTGATGAGTACGTTCGGATACGAACGCTTGAAAACTGGAAATTTTGGATTGTATCCTCTATGTTATTATAGACGTACAGACAGGTAGTTACGTGTAAAACTTTCTTCCATTTTGGACACGTTAATTCTGAACTAGCTACTTCATAGAACAGTTTTTTCTCCCCTCCATAAGAATGATCTTATACCTTCTATGATGAGGCTCTAAGAACTTTAGCTTAAAATACAAATAAAGAAAAAAGAAGGAAAAGAAATTTGATTTGAGGCTCTCACGGTACTGAAGATGTCAATGTTGTTGTAAAACTAATTCTGACAGAATACTGAAGGAGTCTGTGTATGCACTCAGTTGCAATCTGCAGTAGAACAGTCTGAGGGATTAATGACACGTGTTACCACAAATGTACATCGTTACTGTCATATCATTACCTTAACACAAACACAGTTAAGCGTTTTACTGGAGCCTCTCCTTGTGTCATACAATGCAGCCATCTCAACAGCTAGTCTGGAGGATCTATATCGTTCAACACTGCTCTGGGTAGAGCAGCACTGTTCTCTTGTGGACCTTCGACCAGGTAAAGAATTTTCCCTAACATTGACTGTACTTTTATTAGTGCACTTTCCTTATAAATGTAGATAGATGTGTGTTCCACTTCATAATTCTTTAACCAGTAGATGAATTTTTATGAGACTTTGTGATGCAGATTATTTATGAAGGAATATTTGCCACCTTTTGCTTCTGTTTTGTGCACTAGCGGTTTTGAATTCACTGCGGTACCTGTGCACAGCTACAGAGATCTTGACGGACCCTTCACGGCTACCTGATGAAGCAAGGCAGGCGGTGAACAAACAGCAACAAGACCAGTGACCCGACGGGACTCATTGACCTTCAGTTATAACCTGTGGTGGTAGCACTTTCTAAGAAGTTTAATTTACCGAGCAAATGCTCCAGGTAACATGTTGCATGTTGCCCGATCATCTGGCACACAGCAGTTACAAAATACTGGACATTATAAGCGGTAAAGCTGCATTGACTGTTATTTCTGTGGTATAATGTAATACTTTTTGTGCTACAAGGTTAATGGTGGCAGTTGTTGATATTGATTTAGGAGGAGAAAATTGTACCTAGTCCATATTATTTGCCTGGAGAGACTGGGCCAAGCCATGAAACCTCCCAGACATGATAGCCAGCCACATTTGGTAGCCTTGTGTGGTAAGTTGGAGGACTTTTCACTGCCAATTTTGAGTCAGAATATATATAAATTTGAAACAAATGGCAGTGAGGCTTACGTTGACAAACCTGTAGTGCAGATTGATGTTCAATGAGTTCGCTGACCAAAGTGCATCACATACTAATGCAAGTGAGATTACAGCACTGACAGTCCCTCACAGGCCTTTTGTTTTATTAAAGGCAGGTTACGCACAGTTCGTTGTGCTGTCAGTAGTTCAGAATGATTAAGGATACATCTTCCTTTTCAGGAGAAATCCATTTGAAACCAAAGGGTGCTTCTAGTTAATTAAGTACAAGTTTTATGATGCCATTTTAAGATCTCTTACCAGTAGATTAAACTGGATCATTTTGCCTAGTAAAAGAGAATTTATAAACCCATTCCCAACTTCTTGCTGTATATTCTGTTTGCAGGGATTTGCAACACAACACCACACATGCAATTGGGTCTGATCTTTGTTCTGTGGTAAAGATGATGGTAGACTGTAAATATGTTCTTAAGTAAATACTTTGGTAGAATTTATTTTAGGACTGTTTATAATCCTTTGTAATTTGTTAAAATGTAATATTTTATTTGTCTTCTTTTGGTATTTGACCCAGTGAAAATGTATATACAGTGACTGTGTGATAATTCAGCCAGCAGCCATGCAAGAATGTCCGTAGTGCCATAGTTAAAATTTTACATGGAGTAATTTCTGTTAATGTGAAATATGCAATTTTTAATATATGTGATATTGTACTTCAAAAAATTTCAGATAACCAGCTTGTTATTTATATGTGGAGGTTATTTTATATGAAAGTTAATAATTCTTTAATATTTTTCATTTTTATAAGAAAGTTCTTTCTTCAGCTTCTTGTTTATAAAATTTATTGGTATTGCACAAATTGTGCATTGTGTATTATGCTTGTCTTGCAGATGCAACCTTTTGTTTTCATCAGCTGATTAAATTTGTCTCCGTTAGCCGGGACATGAACAGAAATAAATTTTGGACTGAAAACCAGAATATGACTAGTGTGAAGCTAACTTTTCAGTTGTCTATTCCCAAATTTGAGAATGCATTGAGATTTGCCTCCATATTTGCTGTACATCATCATAGTAGTGGTTTAAATCAATTGCACTGGATTGCTAACCAAAAATTGGAATGACTGGTGTAATTTTTGTGCAATGAACCAAGTTGGTTCGAGTCTTTCTGTACGAGTGAACATGACATCCACTTTAGGTTGTTTCTTTTCTGCAAATCCAGTCAAGGCGTTTTCAACATGGAGAAAGAATGTGCTTAGTGTAATTTGGTATTCTAATTGTTAATGTAGCTGTCTGCACATTTCATTATGTATATAAAAAAGGAAAGGGTGTCAAGATCTAGTACATAGGACTGTGAACCATTCTTATTACTTATATTACATCATGTGATATTACATACAGTAGCAAGCATTTTTACAAAATTTAACTTTTGCTAGAGCTATAAATTTTACTAAAAAGCATTTTTGCACCAGTTAATACTGAAGTAATTTGTTAACATTGTCTATTCTAAATAAGTTTTTTAAATGTTGTATAATCTAACATTAGTTCTTTTATTGAAACAATTTTGAACAATGATGTTAATGACGTATAAATGTGAACTGTATGGTATGACTGAATGTGATGGTGACACCATTTTTATACTCTTTAAATCTGAATGAATCCACCCTTTTTGGTATTGTGTACATTTCTCTCATTATTTTGTATAAGATGATTTGCTTGAAACTATATATGATGGCATGCGCGTACTCACTTCTATAACCCTGAAGACTTGTCCTGTGCATACTGCATATACAAGCTGTATGCCATATGAACCTTATTAATGTACAAAGTATGATGACAGAATACATATTTCCTGTGTTGCTAATTGGCAACTTCCAGTTACTTGTCAGTATGTTCATCCGAAGGTTGTTGAGTCTTGATAGGTTCGTGTCTTCTATTCCTAAGATATCCAACTTCCAGTTTTGTATTTATCCCAGGGCTCTTCCCCTACTCTATGTGATCACTATCCCTCCCACCCTTATATTTCTTCTCCTACTTTAGGGATGTAGGGACAAGAAAATGATAAGATATGAACAGCAATTGTTTCTTCGGCTTTAAATGCTAATGCACCACAGTGTTTACACACTTCATGAGGTACACCTACTAAAGAATCAAATTTTCATCAAATATGTATTCTCTAGCATACCCAATGACGACTTGTCCGTCATTGGGTAGCTCACTGGCGTTCTCTCTAAGCTTCATTCATATTAGCCGCATGTTAAGAAGCTTTAACTGGTTATGAGTTTCATTCATATTTGCTACGTGATGTATTTTTAACAGTGCTTTATGATATTGTTCTAGGTACCGTCACTGATATTTGTGCTCTGTTGATACGTCTTGGAATGTGGTTACTTGGAACAGGAAGCATCGTAGGAAAATGTATAATTAAGTTGTGAGCCATGAATTTAAATGTCTGAGGATAGGTTTAAAAAAAACTTTATTGCTTCACAACTTTTCACATTGGTACAGCAAAGATAAATTAAACAATTTGCAATTTAATACAGATAATTTAAAACATTTTGGAGAACAGTAATTATATCCTCAGATGATAAGCTGAGTATGGTCTCCAGTAACAAAGGTTTGTGGAGCTCAAACAGTGGCCTGAGATGAGCACACAAAAGCTCCTTAAGATTAAAAAATATAATTTTTCTTACAACATTTTATTAGCAATCTTTTTACAAGTTGAATAAAACACAATCATTCTACATACATCAGAGAGTAATTGCAGGTTTTAACACATCATTTATTAACTTAAAAATACAAGCAAAATTTACCTAGGTTATGTCACTGGAATTAATTTCCTTCTGCAGCCCTATTCGAGATAATTGTTTAATGACTGTTCATGTGTTTTCTCTGTCTCAAGCTTATGACAAAATACTAACCAAAGGCACTTTGACACTTTACAGGAAATCAGATGTGGATGTCGTTTAACAATGACTTAAAATGGTTGACTGGGACAAGAACAGACACAAGGCTAGTTTTAATGTAATTTCAAGGATTTCGCCAGAAAGGATTGAGGAATGAATGGCATTCACAGCATGCCAAATCTATTTACATGTTAACCTTTTAATTTAAAAGGCGCTACTTCTATATGGTTTTGTAGTGACACATCTGTAATTGGAAACTGCCGCGTTTCTTTTACTGATCTCAGATGCCAAATAAATTTGTAACAAGAGTCAAAGTGGTTGTACTTGTAAATGTGATTTTGTGTACATGGCATGAGTGCAATCCTATAAACTTTAATTTTCAATTTTATTGTATACAGTGAACACCTTCACAGTCAGTCATGTCACAGGATCTGGGCATGGTTCTGCTGCTTATCATTACCAACCAACTACATTACGCTGAAATTTGTATAAATTCACTACCCAAATTAATTTCTGCATTAGATGTCTTATATAATTCCAAGAGTACAAGAAAAGCTAGTGATATTACTATTGATATTCATATGTAAGTAAGCAAAGTTTTATTTTTTACTTGAACCTACATGATCAATTAATAATCATGGCATTTTGCTACACGAAAGTCTGTTAAAAGAGAAGTTTTATGACTTTGTGGTACAATATTCTGGTGTAAGCATTAATATTTACTGGTACATAAAAGTGCCATCAACATACACATTGATTTGTATAGTGATAGCATATCATTATCCCTAACGCTACGTGAATTACGTATTAAGTGTGTATCGACAGTAATTATATGCACCAATAAATATTAGAATGCATGTGGATGATAAGTATAGTAAGGAACAAATTTATATTTTAGTGACTACCTTCATTTGATGAAAAGAAAAATATAAATGTTTAGGGATGAAACAATCGCATAAAGTAAAACAGGTTAGATCAGAGGGTTAGTTCTTATTTCAGGCCACATAGCAATGTATGTGTTAACATAGCAGCCATGCCATTGTCTAAAATACTTTCATTTTTAATATAGATTTTTAAGTGTCTCATATTTCAAATAAACAACATTTTGTATATATGGAATACCTGATCCATTGGTTCCCAACCTCATGAGGTCCTTAGGACAATATACTTTTTAAAACTTAGAAGAGCCTGAAATGATATTCCTTAAGTGATCCTTGCCACAAACAATTTATAATAACACAAGTCAGCAAACAACTTCAGTTGATTTACAAAAGTTCAAATTAACTGAAAATCACATTTCTAGAACTAAGAGGTACCCTCAGAAAACAAAAAATGAATGGTAGAAAAAAGAACACATAATATGCTAGTACACAAACTATTTTCAATTTTACAATTGACAAGTAAGAATAGTCATGTATAAATATTTAATTAACCAGTATCACTACAATGCCAGTCTCATGAAATTATGTTTAAATATGAACACTGGGCACATAGCATGTATATGTGTGTGCCATCATCTTCCGGTGTGGTATGGAACTGTGGTTTGCTTAAGCATGAACTGTTGTGATCACTAATACAGGACTGAATATGATGCCCAAGGTTTAGAAGTGTCGTGTGGGCGGTAATTCTAATATCACATCGGTGGCACACAATGAAGGATCCATATGGAAGTACATTTTCAATCTGCAATGCTGTCTTTTGACAAACAGGACACACAACTTCATCCTCTAAATTTTTCTGCAGCATTTCTGAGAACATCTCTTCTTCACTTGCTAGCAATGCTTCATATTCTGCAATTATCTCTTCTTCTGGAAAAGTTAATTCAAGGGTTATACATTAATCAAGAAATACTTATCAGGCACATGGGGCTGTTGTACTGCTACACTGTTCTCTGTGCATCTACTGTCCTTTACAACTTTTAAATTCTTTGCCAGATAAATATAAACTGGGTATTACAGAATATATACTGCAACAGATCAACTGTCATGCAGTTCAACATGATGTCCAGTTTTCAACTGAGGTACAAATTACAAACCACATGTATGGCATTTCATCTACATTACTGTGCATAGCTACAATTGTACTTTCATAATTTACACCATTTATGGGTCTAAGTTGTAATCTGTTACCTTCCTTAGTAAGGGTGCTTGCTTCAGTTTCAAGTCCAAAGGAAGACAAAGAATATGTTACGCCTGATTCAGCATTTCCAAGAGTTGAAAGCAAGTTGTCCACATCATTACATGAATGAAGGCTCCTCAATTTACATACAATTTTGTCACGGTTTTCCTTCATCCTCGCTTTGCAACGCTGTAACAAGTCATACATGGTAAAATGATGCAGTGGTCCCCCTCTTGGTTTTGTGCTCATAAACATGTAATTTAATTTCTCATTGATAAAGTTACATTTTCGAGGCATTGTAATTTTTAAACCCATTGTCACCATGTGACTGGAGAACGATAATCTTGTCCCGTGAACCCTAAATCAATCATTCAAATTAAATGAATTATTATAAATATTAATAATAATAGATAACACTATACCGCTCGCAGAACATCCCTGAACTTCGGTGAACCATGTTTAATTTTATACGCAGCTTTCCTGTTCAATTCCGCAATATTATGTTTACGTGGAGTTAAAGCTTCCGTCGCCATTGTACATCAATGATTTTCACTGAGCACTGTTACATTTTCATAATAAATTGTAGGTTAGGGTAGGGCTATGACTTCGGAAGAATTAACATGCATGGACACATAGTACCAACACGGGAGCTTCTATCTTTCAAGGTACTTCCAAGGTCTGCAACATGACAATAAAATATCTCCCATCCTGTTACATACGTCTCAACGTGTGATATTGGTCAGTTTCGCTAGGATAGCTTGTTTCGCACGGTGGATCGTAACGCTTTTAGAATGTGTTCATTTTCCACACATGAAGCAGGTGGAGCAATGTTATCGTAGAGCAATATTGGTAGAAAAAATTACGTGATTCAGTAGATTTGTGCATAATTATAACCATAGGCTATTGTCAATGTGATATATTATATCAAAATCATGGCAGGGGTGTTTGATATAGAATTACCTGATGGAGAACTTGGTCAAGATCTTTCTGACGATGATGCTATCGAAATAGAGGAGGTAAGATTATGTTTTTCTTTCACAGTTAAACAGAAAGCAAAATTTCTTTGTTTTTTTGGTTATCAAAATGTTGAAATTGCTTTAGAAATGTGAAGGACATTAGGTTATACATTTTTGTCAGTGGTTTCTTAAGACACTGAACTAGTTGTTTGTACATATAAAAATAACATCCATATTCTGTTTGAATTCCAGGGTGATTATGATCAGGACCCCAATGTTAATGCTATAATTGAGTAAGTATTAAGTTTAGAATAGTGTGTTGAGTTGTATGTGGAAGATATTTTCATTTTTACTGTGTATTTAAATAAGTGTTGGTACTTGGAAATTTCTAACTTTTTATGTGCATGTGCAGGTCAGAAGATTTGGAGACAGTTCATTTGTCAGAACAAAATGTGAATACTGGTAAGGAGAAGACTGGACCTCAGGATTTTGAACTGCGCAAAGTTTTGGGAAAGGGTGGGTATGGGAAAGTATTTCAGGTACGCAAAGTTACTGGTCAAGATACTGGAACCATCTTTGCTATGAAAGTTCTACGTAAAGCATCAATTGTACGCAACCAGAAGGACACAGCCCACACAAAAGCGGAGAGAAACATCCTTGAAGCTGTAAAGGTGAATTGCATTTGAGAAATAAGTGAAATGTTTTTATTTATACAAAGAGTTGCTTGGGCTTGAAATATTAATGTTGCCAGTCAGTCACATTTCTAAGTGGTACTGATTTTATTTTACTTCCCTTGCCTTCATATTGTTTAGCACCCTTTCATCGTAGACCTGATCTACGCATTCCAGACAGGTGGAAAACTCTACTTAATTCTGGAATATTTAAGTGGTGGTGAGCTATTTATGCACCTGGAACGTGAAGGAATATTTTTAGAAGATACAGCTTGGTAAGTAGACATTTTGGGTATACAGTAAGACCTTGCTAATCTGCCAATCATTTGGATAGTACCTGATGCAGGTAGTTCTAACTTGGTTGGTACAAATGGTAGCATTCTGAAACTTTTCTCATGGAATTTCCAACTGGGTTTGAATGTCGTTAGTTCAAAGAACATGATACGTAACTTTATTCATTATGACTATTTGAAAATGTAAAGTTGTTGCCTCAATCATCACCATGATTTTGGCAGAAGCAGGAACCTCTGAAATATCGATTAACTTCTATCAGATTACAATGTCCTACAACCCTGAAGACAACCATCTTTCTTGGTAAAGGGTAATTATAATGTAATTGTTTGACTCATAGGAACCTGAATTAAATATCCTGCCACCCAATTTAAATACCAGATTTTTTAAATTACTTGAGCAGTTCTGATATACATTCTGTGCAAAGAATGCATATTAACTAATATTAAATTGCAATGACTTCTATAATTTTGATTTTTTTTTATCCTTTTCTATGCTGTAAAAACAATGGATATATGATGATAAAATATGAAGCAAGTAAAATGGAGGAAAAAGTGGTTATATGTAGTCAGTTTTGAACAGTATATTCTGCACTGGTCTACTTGGGTGATGAACATCAGACTGCAAAGACTTGAGGTTATGTTGTTTTATGCTTCACTCTGTAGATTAAAATTATAGCAGAATATGAGAAATCATGTAAATACATTATATGTGACCTAGATGACATAGTGAAGTAGATTGGTGGTTAAAATTTGATCCAGGATTTTAATTGTTTCTGAATGTTTTGACTGGCTATGAACCCATTCTAAAAGTTCTGTCTTGCATGGATGGGACAAATATACTATATTAATTTTAGATCTATTTCATTTGTTTGTCCTGATTGAATTCTTTCTGCATTTCGTCTTTCCCTGTAGCCCTTTTGTACATTCATCTTCTTCCCTCCAAAAATATGCCAATTCAAAATGAAAGCTGTTGAAAAAATAAGTCATGCTACATGTTACATTATTTTAATGTTTTTTACAAGTCTGTTCCCATTTAATTGGGATGTGTTTTATATAGTACAGAAATACAGCGAAGTATTACAGGTAGATGATACAACCATCCATCTACACATTCATGTACACTTCCTCTGACCCTTGTCCATCCACCAACCCTCCTGTTTATCCATATTCTATTATAATATTTAGACTATGGATGGCAGTGGGTTTGAGTAGATATCATGTAAATGTACGTCTTGTGTGTGTTAATTCTGTTCCAATCTTTCTTTCAGTTTCTACTTATCAGAAATAATACTAGCACTTGAACATTTACATATACAAGGCATTATTTATAGGTAAGTAAGAGTATTTTTTTTTTCTTATGTGTAATTTACCTTACATATATATATGTACATTTATCAGGTTTAGGTAGTGCATAAATATGGAGCAGGAACTGATAAAAAGAATTACTGTGACCTTTAACCTTGAGACCTTTCAGTAACTCAAGTGTTTATTTAGAGCTATTAATATCTTAGATAAGGACTGTGTAATTATCATTGCACGGCCAATTCATGTTTAGTGCGAAATATAGAACATTGTTTTAACAAACTCGCTGAACAATTTGAAGTAACAGGAACATGCTACCTTAATATGTTGTAATTCTAAATTTTCCCAATTTTACAAATACTTATATTTTTAAGTATTTAAAAATTGTTGCACACACACACTAAATATATAAGAATTTATTCTGAATCCTAAATGTTTCAGTACAAGTGATGCATTTTATTATTGTCGTGATGTTTTTTTTTTTTGTGAGATGCCCCAATAATATGCCACAGGTGTTCATCAGTGATGTTGATGTTATGAAATTGTATAGTTGGTACAACATTGTTAAATAGCCTTCAGGTAAATAAATATATCTGACCATCCCTGCATTCCCACTTTCATGTTCTTAATGTTACTATGTACATAGCGTGTGTCGTCATGAAAATTTTGTTGCTGTAATATCTTTACCAAAGTTTCAAATAAACTTTTAAGTTATTAATTTATAATTATGAGGTTCTCTCGGCAATGGAGATGTTGGCGTTGATTTTATGGGTTGTTATGCCATTTGGTCTTGAAAGTGGTTGCTAGTGTTTCAGACAAACATATCGAATTACTATTTGCAGATGTAAATTGTTTTATGCATTACTTGACATTTAAATGGCCTCGTTCTTACGGTTTTGTCCCGAGTATTAATCTAATTCATTATCACAATCAGGAGAAGAGGTGATTAAAATTGCAATACTTTATCTTTCTTTATTTCTGATGATAGATAAATGCTGAATGGCTTTAGCATGAGAATATACAGCTGATAGAGAAAATATTTTTAAATAATGGTTGTCTTATGAGAGTATTTGTTCATGATGTATTGTTTCTAATCAACCCACATATTTTGACAATGTAACAGTCATTGTATTGTAATGATAGGATCACTGTAGGTATGCCAACATGACAGAATTAAACATTCCATTTCCATATGACATAGTTTGTATTGATTATCCTTTGTTCAGAAAAAAATGTTTATCTAATGACAAGTGTTGCAATGCATAGTAGGATGGTACATGCTTCCAAGGTTCATTACAAACTATAGATTAAGCGCATGACAAATATACATCCACGATTTGAAACCTGTTCTTCTACTCTTACCTTCAATCTGAGTTTTCGGATTAGTCTTACATATTACCGCGGGGAAAGGACCCCGGTACCCATTGGGTAGGAGGCTGGGTGGGCCCCAGAACCGGTCTGGACGCAGAGGCTAGAGGAAAGATTCTCTGCTGTTGTCAGGGATCGAACCCTGGTCACCCAGTCCATAGGCAGTCAATGTACTTACTGAGCTACGCTGACTCTAAGAGCCATCACTGTGAAAAACTCAAACACTACTTGGATGAATTGGGCTGATAGCATCAAGACATGACATAATCGAGTTGCTAGAAAGGGCTTAGCACAAATGATGTTTTTGTGGTTTAGCTGAAAAACTAATTTATATGCTCTCTTTCTCTTGCAGGGATTTGAAACCTGAGAATATACTATTGGATGCACATGGACATGTTAAACTAACAGATTTTGGTTTGTGTAAAGAGCACATCCAAGAAGGCATAGTGACACACACATTTTGTGGTACTATTGAATACATGTATGTACAGTTTTGTTCTTTAGAGATTTGTTAGTCAGAACATGGGAGAGATGAAAAGTACATACAAAATTTTAATAATAATATGTGAAGTTGAGAGGCCACTCAAGGGACTCAAGTATAGATTAATGAATAATATTAAACTGGATAGTAATATTGTGACAGAAATGTGTAGTTGACTTAGGAGTTTTTGCTTGAGATACGGATTTATTAATCTCATTATAGTTGCAAGTAATTATTTTCCTCACTGCAGTTTTTTTTACAGTTATGAATCATGAATTTTGATTGTTTTAGTTATCTGTCTAGGGTCTGCACTGTTATTAATTGTTTGTTTCTAGCGGTAGATCGCGCGCGTATCAAAATCTAAATCGTGTTTCTCACTCGTGTTTACTACCTCTGTCACCTCTGACTGAAAGACACGAGTCTGCATTGTGCCATATATATATAAGTCGCGCAGAGAAGGGCCTAGATTTTTCAGTTTCCATATCATCATTCCGAGAGAATTTTCTGGATGACTCCTGCTATAGTGAGACAAGCACACAGGATGGGTGATACAACTCACAGCTTCGATTGAATAGTGTTAACTTCAGCTTCGATATGTTGTGACATTCTGAAGATTAGGAAATGACAATCCAGTAGCGCAAGATGTCAAGAACCAGTCCATACCAGTTCCAGTCTTAATTATGTGCGTCTTTAATGAGTGCATGTATTGTATTCTACTGAACCTGTTCATTATTCATTAGAACAGTGTGATATGTCTTACTGGATGTATATCTTGTTTATATTCACCTTCTGTAAGGATAATCATCATTGTCGTTGATTACGTTGTCTTATATCTTCTGCTCCGAACATTTGAAGTTGAACTGTCTGTTTCCTCAGATGCATCTCAAAGTCTTATTTGGCCTTTGTGGTTCTCTTTGAATTAAAATTTTGCATAATTTAAGCTTTTATTCTTTCACCAAACAGGTTAGTAGAAGTGGCAATGCTTGTAACTTGATGATCACAGTTCGTCAGCTTGTTTCAGTTTGAAACTTCACTTCTGTTTTTAATATTTTCTCTCATTACCAATATTTCACTGCTGTATGTTACTCAGTCTTAATATCTAAGAAGGGAAGGTCAAATGGTGGTTTTAGTTTATCTCAGAAGTAATCTTGGCAGCACTGAAGATGGATGTGGAAACCGTATGAACCTTCATCCTTTGCACCTATTTGCAGTTGGTAATCTGTGGAGTAGGTAACTTGTCTGGTGTATCGATAGGAT